GGATGGCAACCAGTGGTTCGTCGGCATGGCGGTCGGCGTGAGTGGATCAGTAAGTCAGTCACAAATATACACTCTATTTTTGTGGATAATCTTCCAGAATCCATGGTATCCAGAGGGCTACACAACATATTCTCTAATTATGGGAGAGTCATTGATGTTTTCATCCCAAATAAGAGACGCAAGATGACAAGATCTCGATTTGGGTTTGTAAGATATAATTGTTCTGTAGCAGCTGACATAGCCGTTCAAAAGGCACATGGGCTTTGGTGTGATGACAGAGCATTGAGAGTTAAGATGGCAGATTTTGGCAAAGCGTCTGGTCCACAACCCAGATCGAACCAAGTACCACAGTCTAGAAAAGCCATAGCTGCTAATCTCACACATATCGATGGTCATCAAAGGAACAGATCTTTTGCTGAGGTTGTGAGTGGCAAAGGAGCTCAAACAAAAGCAATCCGAACCATTAAGGCGTATGAAGAAGGTAATGGTTGGTTGTATGAAAGTGTGGTTGTAAGATTAAAAGCATCCTCATCGATGGATACTTTTAAGGAGGACATTGCTAGGAGAGGATTTGGGGAAGTAACGGTCAGATGGGGAGGTGGAAGAGATATGGTTCTCTCATTCAAATCAGTTGCAGATATGAAGGCCAAACTTCAGAGAATGCAGGATTGGCTCAATGTTTGGTGTGATTCAGTCCAAGAATGGAGACAAGGGTTGGTTATTGAACAAGAAAGATATGTCTGGCTTAGCTGCTATGGAGTCCCACTGAATTTATGGAGCTTTAAAACATTTAGTAGCATTGGGGAAACTTGGGGTGTAGTGCTCGCCATTGATGAGGATACACTTCGGCTTAATTCAATTCATTGTGGTAAGGTGAAGATAGCCACGTCAAGTATGGAGTCTATAAATCATATCATATATCTGGAGTGCAAAGGTACATTATACCCAGTGAGGGTTTGTGAGGAACAAATAATAGTTTCTAAATCAACATCTGATCAGTGTACATCTCAACCCACCGAATGGAAGGACGCAGGGAAGAAAATTCCAGAGGCACTTGCAGATGACCAGCTTTCAGACATAAACAGTAGGCACGAGGTAGAAGATGATGATGTGGATATCCAGCTGGGCAAGAAAGAAGTCTTAAGAGATGAGGTGGTTGGAGAGGGGAACAGTGAATTACCTGCCAACTCAGATGAATTGGACGGGGTTGATAGATTGAGTGATGTCTCTGCTGTTTCTGAAACAGATATGATAAAGGATGGGTCTGAGGAAGGTGGTGCATGCGTAAGTCAACCAGCAGGGGTAGGGTTGAGCTATGAGCAATATGATGATGGTGATAGGTGTAGGGTAGACGCCGAAGTATACACCTCGGGGTTTATCAGAAGTCTGAGTGGGTCACTTGGTAATCAGCAAGGTATCCAACTTGAAGTGGATCTTAATGGGGCCCAATTAGCAGGTGGTCTAGCTGGGCCGGCCCTTACATCTGATGGGCTGGTTCAGTCTCATTATAATAATCCTCAACATGGCTCTGAGGGGTCGGCCCATAGTTTTGCTTGGCAGGCTCAAATTCAACATTACAACCCACAAGGTCCATCTATTTATACGGCTCATTCATTACAAGTTCCCTCTTGTCCAGCTAGTAAAGTGAAATTGAAGGCAAAAGAAAGAGCAGTATCAAGAATTCAGTTTCAGAAAAAGCAAACTAAGGGGAAGTTTGGGGTCAACAAGAGATTAGAGGCATCATCTCTAAACTTGAGGAAAGGAGCTGTCTTCAGGTCAGCTGTAGCGGCCATTTCATTATCCATGGCAAGTGGAAATAATAGAGGTCGGAGAGTGTTATCAGAGGCAGAGGCTTCTATACAAATTGGTAAAGCGTTGGGTTTAGAATGTGAAGATAAAGAAGAGGAGGTGCTGAGCAAGTTAGAGGAGTTGGAAGCTCAAGATAAACAAAGAGCTAAGAAGAAGGAAGGAGTGAAAAGCTAGTCTGTTATATCCAGCTGTTTTAAGAGTAACTTTCATACTCATGAAGATACAATCTTGGAATGTGAGAGGAATTGGAAGACCTGAAAAAAGGAGGAGGATCAAGAAAAGTCTTTTAGATAGGAAAGTGGATATTGTGTTACTTCAAGAAACTAAGAAGCCAGCAGTGGACTCTGATTTGGTTAGGTCTATGTGGCCTGGGGATAATTTTGATTATATGGGTGTAGATGCAATTGGTCGAGCTGGAGGACTATTATGTATTTGGAACCCTGAAGTATTTCAACTGAAGGCTTGCTGCAGTACACAAAATTTCATCCTATTATCAGGTACATTATTTTCCAATTTTGATTGTGTTGTCATAAATTTGTATGGTCCTAATGAGGTGGGCAAAAGGAAAGAGACGTGGGACTCTCTAGTAAGGTTGAAAGCTAGTTTTATGGGGCCATGGTGTCTGGGGGGGGGACTTCAATGAAATCCGGAGTATTTCAGAAAGAATAGGGTGTTCAAGAAGGGATAGAGGAATGAGGGATTTTAATAACATGATTGATCAATTAGAGTTGATAGATATGCCTCTGTTAGGGAGGAAGTTTACGTGGTGTAACTCTCAAGCAAGGGAGAAATGGAGCAGAATCGATAAATTTTTGCTTAATTATGAATGGGTGCAGAATTTTTCTTTCAAACTATGGGGACTTCCTAGATTGTTATCTGATCACTGTCTTATTATTTTAATGGAGGATGAGAGGGACTGGGGCCCTAAACCCTTCAGGTTTCTTAATGCTTGGATTCTACATCCAAAATTCATTCCCTTTGTTCAACAAAGTTGGTCAGAACTTGGTGTGACAGGATGGGCAGGATACAAGTGCCTTATGAAGTTTAAGGCACTGAAACAGGCTCTTAAGAAGTGGAATGTGGAGGTGTTTGGAAGGATTGAATTAAAATTGAAAAGTGTGGAAGATAAGGCTCATTCGCTGGATTTGTTAGCTGAGGAAAGACCATTACTTGATACAGAATTGATTAGAAGAAAGGAAGTGAGGGGTGAAGTTTGGAAGTTAAGTAAAATGTTGGAATGGATTTGGTTACAAAAATCTCGTTTGAACTGGGCAGCTAAAGGGGATAAAAACACTAAGTTCTTCCATATAATGGCATGCAGCAGAAATAGTAGGAATTCTCTGTGTTCAATATCAATGAATGGTATGTTGCTTGAAGAGCCTTCGGAAATTAGAGATGCAGTTCTAGTTCACTTTATGAGGCTATTTTCGGAAGACTGGAAAGTCCGTCCCAAATTGTCTGGCCCTTTCAAGAGTATAGGAGGTGCTCAAACTGTGGCACAATTGGAGGCAGATTTTACAGAGGAGGAGATCTGGAATGCTATAAAGTGTTGTGATGGAAATAAGGCTCCTGGGCCTGATGGGTTCAACATGTCCTTTAAGAAATGTTGGCAAATAGTGCGGGTTGATGTATTACAGTTTATGAGGGAGTTCCATCAGAATGCTAATCTGGTTAGTGGAATTAATAGCTCTTTTATCGCCCTAATTCCAAAAGTTTCAAGTCCTTCTTACTTGAATGAATATAGGCCTATTAGCTTGATTGGATCCTTGTACAAAATCTTAGCTAAGGTGTTAGCTAACAGATTGAAAAAGGTGATGCCCAAGATTATTGGTGAGGCCCAGTCAGCGTTTTTTGGGGGAAGGAATATCTTAGATGGGATTTTGATAGCTAATGAAATAGTGGATGGGTGGAAGAGGTCTAACCGAAAAGGTTTGGTGCTTAAGTTGGATTTTGAAAAGGCCTATGACTCGATTAATTGGAAGTTTTTATTTGATATGTTGTCGAAGTTTGGCTTTGGATCTAGATGGGTTAGATGGATGAGAGCTTGTGTTTCCTCTGCCAAGATCTCTGTCCTAGTTAATGGGTCACCAACATCTGAGTTTTGTCCACAAAGAGGTCTTAGACAAGGAGATCCGTTGTCACCATTCTTATTCAACATTGTTGCAGAGGGCCTCAATATTTTACTGAGTAGAGCTAAGGAGTTGGGCATAATTAAAGGGGCTGAGGTGGGTTCTAATGGCCTTAGAGTCACGCATTTGCAATTCGCGGATGATACGATTATGTTTTGTGGTGCAAATAGAGTGGAGGTGACCAACATCAAAAGAATTCTACGATGTTTTGAGATTGCTTCGGGCTTGAAAATTAACTATCACAAGAGTGTCATTTGTGGTGTTGGGGTGGATGAGGAAATAGTGCAAGAGTTTGCTGATTCTTTATATTGTCTTAACCAAAAGTTGCCTCTCAAATATTTGGGACTACCTTTGGGGGCAAATCCTACCTGGAGGAGTACCTGGAAACCTGTTATTGACAAGGTCAAACAGAAATTGTCCTCTTGGAAGAGAAGGCTGCTATCCTTTGCCGGGCGCCTAACTCTAATCAAATCTGTTTTGTCCTCTTTACCTATCTATTATATATCTTTGTTTAGAATTCCGATTGGAGTGGCTAAGGAGATTGAGAGATTGCAATCAACTTTTCTTTGGGGTGGCTCTGACCTTAGAAGAAAAGTTCACATGGTCTGGTGGGAGGTGATTACTAAAAATAAGAAATTAGGAGGGTTAGGTGTGAGGAGGATTAAAACTTTGAATCAGTGTTTACTATTAAAATGGTGGTGGAGATTTCGTGCGGAGAATCATTCGCTTTGGAAGGAAGTGATCTGTGCAAAATATGTGCCAGTGGATGGTAAATGGTTCCCAAAACTGCTTGCTAGAGGTTCAAAACTTTGGACTGATATAAGTCATGTTGTTCATTCCAATTCAGAGCTGCATCAATTCTATATGAATAATTCTAAGATAGTTCTGGGGGATGGGAGAAGAGCTCTTTTTTGGAAGGACAAATGGGTGGGTAATGTTTGCTTAATGGATGAATTTCCTAGGCTCTTCTTATTATCTAATGATAAAGATGGTGTGGTTAGAGTGTTTTTTGAAAGAAGGGCATAGGATGGTGGTTGGAACCTGGGATTTAGAAGATCTTTGATGGTTTGGGAGGAGGAAGAAGCTTATAGATTATCATGTCTGCTTTGCACTGCACCAACACTGCACAATACCAATCCTGATGAGCTTCTTTGGTGCGCAGACTCCTCGAAGCTCTTTTCTGTTTCTTCTGTTTATAAATGGTCTGAATCTTCTCTGGGAAATGTAATTCCAGTGGCTGCCTCAATTTGGAACAACTTTGCGCCCCCAAAAGTGCAATTTTTCGGGTGGTTAGCTTGGCTTGGTAAGGTTAAAACATCTTCTTTCCTTCATAGAATTGGAATTCTCATAGGCAATGCAAATCTTGTCTGTGTTTTCTGTCATATTGAGGTTGAATCTGTGGAACATATTATGCTTAACTGCCCTTTTGTGTGGCTGCTTTGGTCAAATATTATCCACTGGTGGGGATTGCAGTGGGTGATTCCAGGATCGGTGCATGGTTTGCTGGAATGGTGGTCCGGGTGTGTAATGCAGAAACTGGAGAAGAAAATCAGGATGGCAATCCCTTTGGCCACTCTCTGGACCACATGGAAGCACAGAAATGACTGTGTTTTTAATGGTTCTCAACCAAATCTGGAAGCTTTGTGTGAATTAGTGAAGGTTAGAGTTGCTATGTGGTTCAAAGCATCGAAACTCCAGGTTGATTTCTCCATCAACGACTTGGCCTTTAATCTGCCTCAGGTGAAATATTGTATCAGGAATGGAGGGTGAAGGTTCTAGTTCTAGACTGGTGCATTTTGGTCTTATAAAAGGGCTGGGTTATTGTCTGGAGCTCAAAACAGAAGTTCAATGACTTTTCTGAGTTTGTAGAATGAGAAGGACCAAGCTATTGAGGTTGTGGTATGAGAAGAATCTAAGTGTGGGAAGGATCATCAGGGTATCTATGTATTTGTTTTTGTGGGAAAGATCATTAGTGTATTTGTGTTTTTGTTTTTGTGGGAAGAATCAAGTTAATAGTTTGCTGGTCTCTTGGTGTATTTGTGTTGGTGTTTGGTTGTAATGTGGAGTGCAGAATTGCTGTGGTTAAGTGCTCTGATGAATTGCTGTAATGTGGAGTGCAGAACTGCTGTGGTTACGTGCTAATGGTAGCAAAAGTACAGGCTGAACTGATATAAGGTGGAGTGCTGGTAGGTTGTTAATTTGGGTCGATGGTGTTCTGCTATGGGCTGTTAATCTGTTTTGAGCTAGAAATTTGTGGGCTGGTGGTTTGTTTGTTACATTTGTTGGTTCTGTTGGTCTGTTGGTGGTCTAAGGTTTGCTAATCTGTTGGTTTGTTACATTGTTTAGTTCTTTGTTCTGTTTTTGGTTCTCTTGTCTGTGATCTGTTCTTCTGTTTTTTCCTTTCGGGTTTGGTTCCTCACCAAACTCCGGCCATCTCTAACCATATATTGGCAATGATGCTCTCTATAAGGTCCATTCATTCTTTGTTGAAATGGTAACAAGTTATTCTCTATGATCTGGAGAAATGGTGATCAAGGGGATGTTACCTCTCCAACAAATTAGTTGCCAAATTATTAACATAACTCATTAGTTGTTGGCTAAGTTGTTTTATAATTGGCCCTATCTAGAATAAAACTTAGTTCGAAACCACATTTAGGTTAGAAATGTTATGAATTTACTAACCAACATTATCACTAGCGTATCTATTATTATTTTAAGGAAACTTCCATGTTCAAGGCATTTATAGCAACCTCTGGTTCTCTCCCTACATCTTGCACATTGTTAAAAATATAACTTCTTATTATCTCTTTGTCCTTGTCATGGAGCACTAGAATGTGTGTTCTATCAGGTGTGCCAAAAAAAATGTTGGCTTTGAAATGCCTTTGAATGACGTAATTATAATTTGGACAGAGTAGAAAAGGTTGAACAACCTTTTTAGATTTAAACCTAAGCTAATTAAAAACTAGATGAATGTCTAAACGGTTCTTTTGTCTCAATGTGCCAACATCGAGGACAAGTAATACATAATTAAAAGTAAAAAGAAAGTAAAAGGAAATAAAGTGAAAAGAAATTGAATTAGTGAACAACATAATTACTAAAAGCAAAGTTAGAATTGATTGAATGAACAATACAATTTCAAGATCACACTAGCTTGCTACTTCTACTCATATCTTTGAAGTTCCTCCTATGGTTATTAGAATTGAACCCACTCCTAACTAGTGAGAAAAACTACTAAGAAAATATAACAATAAGTCCAAATTTTTAGTCTAGAGGTTCATTTCTCCTTTAATTGGCCTTCTATTTATAGACGCAATGCTTTAACTACTCACTACAACGTATTCAGGTTTTTGAGACAAAAAATTAAGGACAAAATAATTTTTTAGGGATGAAATGTTGTATTTTTAACAATAAAATTGGACATTTAGTGATGAATAACTATTCTTTTGAGACCATTTTTTTTCTCTCAAAAAGTAAACTTTTTGGCACCAAATTAAGTTATCCCTACAAGTGCATTTTATTCTATCGCTAAAAGCTATTTTCTTTGACTTTGGGGATGACCTTTAAATGACAGCTTTCATGACGACAGGAATTGGTCCTCAAATATTTTTTACAACAAAATTTTCACTTTTTGAGACAAACATTTGATTCCTAAAGCTTTTTTAGGTTGTAGTGGCTTGTGATTGCTTACAACGACCCGTGATATTTCTTTCCTTCTCAGGTGTTGACTTGTTTCCCTTTTCTTTCTCGCATTTGTTGTTCCAGTAATGGTGCTAGTGTCTCTTGCATTTCAAGAAGCTGCACATTTTTTTTTTCTTAACTCCCATGACTGCCCATGACCCATGGATGTTTCATCTTCTTAGGAGTTTTGTGGACTTGTTATGTGATAGATACTCTCTTCAAATATCTCTAGATTTACCTTTTTAACTATGAATAACTATTTTGCACCCATTGCTGCCCAATAATTGGCTATTCAATTCAACGATTGTAAACAAATTGAATATGTTCCAATGCGCATAAATCTTTATAAGTACCAGCCACACTTGTTTATACTACCATTGAATGGATCCTAATCGCTACTTGTTATCCAGTTAGTTGGCTTGGATATCGACTAGGGTGCTGGGTTTGGTGGTTATAGTCTAGGTTGGTGAAAGTGAGTAGATGAGTGGCATAGATCAAGAGAATAGGTAGAAGAGTGGCAGCTGTGGATGAAGAAGAGGTAGGGCTGGCCACAATAGGTAAGAGAGGACTAGGGTGAGCAGAGGCGGTTGGGAGTAGTGAGGGAGAATGGAGGAAGTGATGGCAGTGACGGAAGACGTGGCTAGGGTTATTTGTAAAAGAAAACTAAAAGTGACCATGGTAATTTCATAATTCTACCAAAAGATTCCATATTTTGTAATTAATTTTGGTTCTTCCAATTGTGATGTAATGTTTGAAAACTTCCCATTGACTGGTAATAAATTACCTCATTTCCCATTGGATGTTGTATGACCAAAATTCTATAATAGACGCTGCTTTTTGGGTTATATATATGTAAACATCACTTCCTCTTATAACTAAGTTACATTCATTCCTAACTAAAAACACCACAATGAATCACAACTAATGACCACTAGTCATAATAAAAAAACAACTTCGTTAGGTCATAATCATGATCATAAACCATAATAACTTATAACTAAAAAATATTTTCAACAATTATAGTAAGTCATAACTATACATTACTTAACTCATAACTAAAGATCACAAAAAAATTATAATCAGATATATTGTGCATTCCACTCCAAAAAAAAAAAAAAGAGTATATGTATTGTAGAATGTCTCATAGAAAATAGATAGATAGATGAGGTAATCTTTAAATGCAAACACTAATAAAAAAAAGATAGACCATTTCGAATTTAATTTGCTGATATTGAACCAATGAATGATGCAAAACAGCCTATATGATAAAAGAAAAAGAAAAAGACGTTATGATGCAAACTCACAAAGTGACCAACGACTTCATTTGACTAAAGAAAGTTGGTATGTGTCCACCCAGTAAGTTACCATCAAGGACACTGTTCATCATAGATAGGCAATGTTAGTGTATAAAACCTTACATGCATCATAAATGTTAAATTACCCTAACATGTTCATTTTTATTACCCATAGCATTGTTAGGGTTTTACACATTATACATGACAATGATGATCTTAGTTAGGTAGGGAAAATATATTTAAAAAGTAAATTGAAATTAAATACGCTTCAACATGATTACACAACTTACATAATTGAAAGCATGGACAAATTTTGTAACCAAGATGGAATCTCACTAAACCTGTTATCATCCAGATATCTGTGGCAACAAAATTAAATAAAATTTCATTGTCACTTCTGAAAGAGAAAATAGGAAAAAAGAAAAGAAATAAATAACGAAGAGAAAGAATTGTTGTCAATCAAAAGTTACATCAAACGCCATATGTGTCATGCATTTGATAGTCTTCTCGTTCAATGGAGCTGAGACCGTTCAGTGGTACAAAAATGTGCATGATGAGTTCATCATGGTCTAACGGTAATAATAAGCTAAATCTTGTCATACAAAATAATGGTACTTTGATTAGTTTATAAATTGACATATTTGTTTTTGCTTTTAGCAATTTTTTTTTTTTGGTTGAACTTTGAGTCAATTTGTTTATACTTTATAAGTCGGTCCAAACTAGAAGATCTTAAAAATTAAAAACAATAAATTCTTTTTGAAAAATAATGTTGAAAACAAAAAATTGACTAACTTTTAGAGGTTATTTTTGTCTTATTTTTGTTAGCTTTTTCCATCGACTTTTTCCAAAATGTTTCCAACCTTTTAAGGATAAGTTTTCTATTTTTTTTTTTTAATAATAGTAACTGGCTTTATGAAAATAAATACAAAAAGAAGTTTTTTTTTAATCTTTAGAAATTATTTTCTTCCCAAAATATGGGAGAATCATACGGGAAAAGATTAATTTTTTTAATTTTTCATTTTATTCACTAAATTCGTTTGTAGATTCTTTGGGGAAAAGATGAAAAAGAAGAAGGGAAACCTAATTTGAAAATCAAACCAATCAAGCTGAGAGGTTTTTCATTAAAAAAATAATTATTTTTTCATGGAGGTAAATGAATTGGTGAAATTACCTAACAAAGAGTATATGAAGAAATATAGATGTGAGACTACATGCGCTCTCCCATCGTCTATTTTTCTCAACATAAGTTCATTTGAAATTCGATGGTAACAATTTGTGAAAGTAGTTAATCTTCATAAAAAAATGCATAACAATAAGAACCATGTTAGAATGTAAAATTTTCCTAATTACACTACATTGTCTGCATTTCATGTGCTCTACGCAAAATTAACTAAGAAAACTATGAAAATGAATTGTGGAATTGTAGCACTTCCAAAAATTTGAAATTAATTAATGCATTAATTTGACATAGTACATAGTCATATCAACGGAGAGCAAGAAAAATTTATTGAGTTTTGAGAAGGTGTCACGTCTCATTGCTCTAATGACTTGTATGAAATATCCTAAACAACAATTTCATCCTTTCATGGAATGAAGAAGAAAGTGAAAAAGCATTTTTTTTGCCTCAAAACCCTATATCTAAGCTCTGAATTGAACTTTCCTCTTAAAAAGAATGTCTACATCTATTTCACGATCAAACTTCAAATTATAAAGAAGGATTAAGTAAGCCAATTGAGCGAAATAGTAGAAAATAATCTTACAATTCAGTAAGAGAAGTAAGTTTTCCAATTTCCTTTG